CTGTGAAAAACAAGTAGTTCTCGTTTATTACTCAGTTGGCAGACAATGTTTGCTATGTGTGCAGCCTAAATTGCATTTAGGACTAATGAATAATTAAGTCATGTGATTGTAGTGTAAAAGGACAGGAATTTCCCTGGCCTGTATGGATTTGTTTTAAAATGTATAAAAATGACTCAACTTCTTATCCTTACTGACTCATATTCTAGAATTTGAGAGTGTCCTTATGTGTTATACTAATGCAGGAAATATTTGCCATGTACTTATGTGCTTTTTAAAACTCAGAATGAGATCACCTCACCAACTAAGCATTAATCACCATAGAAGGATTCAGGATTGAGCAGCAGGAATTTGGGAGGTATTCATTTTTGTTCATTCATATTTCTTGTCTAACTTCCAGTTAATCTTGGAAGAGTTACCTACCTTGAATTTGTTTATATCTGAGTTTACTTGCATGTAGGATGTAGGATATGTTTGTCAAATTTCATTTCACTAATTCAGTGAGCATTTTGAATCTTACATTTATCCTGTGTAAGATAATACAATAAAAAGATGATGAATAAGATATGGTCCCTGTTCTTTAAAATTCCACAGTCTGGTTGGGGAAACACACCTTATCAAATAACAATACAAAGTGGTATGTGAGGTAAATGCACGGTGCCAACAGAGTATAGCAGCAAATTTCAACCCTTTTCATCTCATGGCACACATAAGTTAATTAGTTATTAAAATTCTGCAGCACACCAAAAAATACATTTTTTGCTAATCTGACAAAAAATGGGTATAATTTTGATTCATTCACACTGGATGGCTTTGGTTGTGTTGGCTTTTTTTTTTTTTTTTTTAAACCATTTAAGGGAAAAGAGGTCAGTGCCCCTGACTAAATAGTCAGGTGTTGCATGTTTTAAAAATTCTTATGGCACACCAGTTGAAAATTGCCAAGAGTATATGAATGGGACAATTGACAGTCAGGAGGAAACCTGATGAAGGCATTTGAGCTGAATGTTGAAAAAAGAGTAAGAATTCACCAAGTTAGGGAGGAAGGGATGGCCACGCCAGGCAGAAGAACCTGCATGTGCAGGCATACGGTACTTGACATATTCAGACCGACAAGAAACTAAATATAGATGGAATGGGGAAGAAGAGAGATTTTTCCTTCTACCATGAAGTTAGGACATGAAGGGCATGGCATATCATGCTAAAAGAATTTGGGACTTTATCCTATAGAAAGAGTTGAGCTCTTAAAGATTTTTAAGTAGTGGAATTACATAATCATAAATGTGCTTTAGAAAGATAATATTGGTTGGAATGTGAAGGAAAGATGTGAGTAGAAAGTGGAGGAAGGGAGTCCAGTTAGGGGGCTATTTTAGTACTGCAGGCCAGAGATGAAGAGGGGCTGGACTGGAGTAAAGCAGTGGCTGTAGAGATGTTTCCTTTAGTCATTAATTTAGTGACCATTTGAGGACCTTCTGTGTGCTCGGCATGGAGCTACAAATAGAAGCATGATTCTCTCAAACTCAGTGTAGTTGGGAGGATTGTATATAAACATGCAACTGAAATGTGTTGTAATAAATGCAATTATAACTGTAATGCAAGATATAATTGTAGAAGGGAGTATAATATAGAGACAGACTGCCTGTGTTCAAATTCCAGCTCTGCCATTTATAACTATGTGTCATTGCTTAACCTCTCTGTACCTTAGTTTCCTTATTATGAAAGTGGTGATAGTAATAGTAGCAAAATTGAAAGGTTAATTTTAAGACTGAATTATTAGAATGCTTAGCTCAAATGTTAGCTATTTTCACAAAAAGAGAACCCAGCTGAAGTGAAAGGCAGACACTTGACTGAATATTGGGTAAATGGATGATGGCAGGATAAGGATGAGGGAAAACAGTACTACATTTGAAAGCATAGGAGTATGAAACAAGGAATTTTAGGGGTTGTAAGGAGGAGTGGTTGAAGTATAGAGTACTTGAGGGAGAGTGGAAGGAAGTGGAATTGGCAGAAATAAGTAGTTACTGGATAATAGTGGACTTTGGATGTCGTGCTAAGGAGAGAGGACCCACCAAGAGTTTTAAAGAGGAGTTCGTTCACCTTTGCATTTAGAGAGATCACAACTATGGGTGTAATGTAACAAATGCATCGGAGAGCCCAAATTCTCTGTTAGCAAGATGGCTGAGATAAGCTGAAGGCTCTTCTGCTACAAATACCAAACAAAAAGCTGGGTGATACAACACAACAATTCTTTAAAACATGTTCCTGAGCGTGTAGAAAAGATAGGAAAATCTCCAGGTTCCAGAAACAAAAATGAAACGAAAACCCCAAATTTTAGTAAGCTCTGAACTCATGCCGTGTTGCCCTGGAGCAGGGTGAAGGAGTGGAGTGAGGGGTTATTTCTCGTTTTCTATTTCTAGCTGATTGCGTATTAACCATTCGGAAGAAGGAACCAAAACTAAGACTTCTGCATATATCTGGGATCTGATGTGCTGCATTCTAGGAGACAGGGTGGGCTAGAGAAAAATCTCCCCCACAACACAAGTCAATAAAAAGAAATCTGTCTTGATTTGCCTGCACTTTATGCAAAGAGAAAATGGAAAAAAAGCTTACCTGAGAAATTGAAGCATGAAACCTATGCCTCACTCAAATTTGGGATCTGAATTTATATGGGTCAGGTATCCCCATGTTGAGAAATTAATATAAAAGCTGGCTCCACGCCCATGGCTCTGTGGTTGACCTATGAACCAGGACGTCACGGTCCCATTCCTGGTCAGGGCACATGCCCAGGTTGTGGGCTCGATCCCCAGTGTGTGGGGTGTGTGGGAGGCAACCAATTGGTGATACTCTCTTATCACTGATGTTTCTATCTCTCCCTCTTCCTTCCTCTCTGAAATCGATAAAAATGTATTTAAAAAAATAAAAAGCTGGCTCCAAGCTCGTGATAATCCTGGGTCACCCAGAGAACAGAAAAACAAGACTTCAGGGGAACTCCCATATCTCAGGCCACAAGGGATTCTCACAGAAGAAATAAGCCCAACTGGAGATGAATTTATAATTTAAAATTACGCACAAGAACAACAGTTTGCTACCACAAATAAGAGTCAGCAGATATAAAAAGATGATTATAGCTCCAAGAATTGGGATCATAGAATGGCAGTTTGAAAGATAATTTAAATGAGCATATTTTAATTGACTGAAGATATTAAAGGATTAATTGGCATCCAAAGAAATGAATAAGACTTTATGAAACAGGCACATTTGAAAAAGAAACAATGAAAAATGTAGGTTAAAAAGGTCAGTGAATAAATTAAGCATTAGTCTACATAGATGAGAAAATCAGTAACCTTGGAGGTAGATATGAGGAAATCCTGAGAACGCAAAACAGTAAGAAGAAGAAAGATATAAAAGGTCACGAAGACCCAGCATCTAATACTAATTCCAGAAGGAGAAAAATAGAATGAAGGGGATGTGGAATGTAAAGAGATGATGACTTGAAAATATTTTGGAATTAATAAAAAGACATGAATTCTTAGGTGTAAGACTCATGATTCCCTAGCAGAATTTAGATGAGCAAAACAAAACCTTACAGCTAAACACATTGCAATGAACCAAAGACACTATTAAAAGCTACCAGAAAGGAGCAACAGGCCGTGAGCAGACCTATCTCAACAAGACAGGCCTGAAAAAAATGGAAGAATATCTTCCGAGTGTTGAGAGAAATCTGAGTTTCATACTCAGTTAAGTTATTCAAGAGTGAGGGCAAAATAAAAATATTTTTAGAAAAAAATATAGAGAATTTATCACACTTTCTGAAAGAACTATTATACAAACAGTGTACTTCAGGAAGAAAGAAATGTAACTTAGGAGATAGAGTAGGATACAAGAAATCCTGTTGAACAAAAATTGGTAGGTAAACTTAGCCACCATTGACTACATAAAACAAAAATAATTATGACAATTTGTGGGAGCTAAAACCGAAGTGGAACTAAAATACCAGGCAAGGATAAAATGTAAGCTGGGGACTGATCAGCATTAACGAGTTCTCATGGTCTATGTATAGTTCAGGAGGAGGACAGAGATATTGATTAACTTTAGGCTTTCAGTCAGATGCATATTAAAAATTTAAGGGTAACCACTAAAAGAAAAGAAATATGATATATAACTTGATCTACTGTATACACATAGAACGATACACCTCCCAAATTAGAGAATATATATCCTTTTTAAACAAATGTGGGACATTTACATAATTAGGCACAAAGAAAGTTTCAACAAATTGATATATAAACCATGTTATCTGACTCAACACAATAACATTAGAAATTAATAACACATATAATCAATTTTCCCTGCCTACAAGTCCTTGTTTGAAAATTAAACAGCAAACCCCCAAACTAAAGTACAAATGAAAAACAAAATCATGGGAATTGGAAAACATTTAGAATTTAATACAGCTGAAACCATACTAAGGAAAATTTAAGCGCCTATATCATATTTCATTGAATCTTAAGGTGCTCTGGCTTATAAGATGAGCTATTATTTTCCAAATACAGTGCTTTCCTACAACTTAGACTTTTTAACTTGATACTTATGAAAGAGCTCATAAATTTATTTAGATGTAGATTTAATGTATCACGTATGTACATATTTATAAAAGAAAATGAATAAATTAGTATAGTAGAATACTCCTGTGACTTCCTCATATTCAGGATTTGATTCTTCTAAATCATTTTTTGACTGACTCATAGAGGTTTTTGTTTTTCTACATAGTATTGCTCAACCATTGAGCCACTCTGGTCAGGTGATACAGCATTTCTTAAAAGTACTCCACAACTCTCTCCAGCATTTTCTTTCAAACTTCTGGCTCCCATAAAGTTTTGATGCTAATGCTTTATTGAGCCTGCCAGAAGGTATCCACAAAAGTTTTTTAGATGAGACCCAGCTCTTCCTCAGATGGTCTGTAAAAGTTTTATTGGTTAACATTGAGAGGTTACAATTGTCCAATCATGCCACCAGGGTTAATCGGCAAATCACTATACAGTTTTTGTAAGCTTCTTCTTCAATTATCTTATGTTCATACCTATGTAAGCAATGAGAGTGGTATCACTGCTGCTGGCTGGCAGTGATTATAAGATTCCACTTGTAGGAAATATCCCAATTTCAGAGATGTTAATATGGAAAAATGTATGTCCTAGAATCTGTAAGGTACTTGAAGACCAAAAACTATTAAGTGGCTAACTGAAGAAGTTAGAAAACTCAGCAGATTAAACTTAAAGGAAGTAAAAGATCAGAAAAATAAATTACTGAATAGAAAACAAGATAATCAAGACCAAATCTAGTTGAGGAATTAACATAGAATCTATATTATAGCCAAGTCTCTGGCAAAATTGGTCAAGGAAAAATAAAAAGCAAGAAGGCATATATAACGTCAGGAGTGAAACAGGTAATACATCTCTAGATAAAGATTTTTAAAAGCCCATTAACTGTAGAATATGGCAAACTTTATGCCCTTGGATTTGAAAAATTATATAAAATAGTCAATTTCTTAAAAAATATAACCTGACTCAGAAATAAGTGGAAAATGTGAATAGAAATGAACTAAAAAACCAAATTGAGTAAATAGCAAAATCTACCCACTAAGTAATACATGGATACAATGAGCTAAATTCAGTTTATGCAAACTACAAATGGCCCATTTTCTTCCACAAATATGTGAAGAAGAAAAAGCAATAGGAGGGAAATCTGCAGTTTAAGTGTATGAACTTATTTGGATCCTGATTTGAAAAACTATAAAAACATTTGATTGGAATTGAATACAGGTTGGATTTTCTTTTTTTCTTTTTTTGTATTAAAGGTATTCAGTTTTTAGTGTGACAGCAGTTTTCTGGTTACATGTTTTAAAAGAACCCTTTAAGAGAGATGCTAAAATGTTTCTGGGTAAGATGATATGATATCTGGAATTTGTTTCAAAATCATTCAAAGGGAGAGGGGGCAGGTAATGATTATGGGAATAGATTTAATAAGATTGGCAAATAATTGATTTTTTGGACTCTTTAATTATTTAACACTGGTTATTCAACTACGCTGACACCAATACCTGTTTTAATTAATATTTATAATAGTTTAATATTTGATAAACAATGTGTCCCGAAATTATGTTAACTGTTCTTACTCACTAATCATCCTTATTGATAAGTTCCACTTTAAAAATAGTTCCTTTCTGCCCTAGCTGATTTTGGAACACATTGATTATCAAAAATTAAACTATTATAAATATTAATTAAAACAGGTATTGGTGTCAGCATAGTTGAATAACCAGTGTTAAATAATTAAAGAGTCCCCCCAAAAAAAGTAGACTCCAGTAACATGCTGTCATATATTTGAATTTGGTAGATGACAGGTGGCATTATAAATCATTTGTGGATGTTAAATTTGTATATTATTATAGCAGAGAGGGAGAAATCAATGGTGCTGGAGAGAGTGGAGAAAACTGAATGAGCTACGTTCATGAAGAAGTGAGAGAAAATGAGATCTGGAACACCAGGGGGAGATTGATCTTACACTGGAATAGGGGATACTTCTCCCATTCTGGTGACTAGGTACTTATTACTCTCTTATTTTGGGACAATTTTAATTGTTTAAAAGTTAAGTTTTCTAGTGAATCAAAATCTGCTTCCCCAGTTTCAGTGTTCTAGTATTTATTTATTTTTAATATAATTTTATTGATTTCAGAGAGAAAGAGATAGAAACATCAATGATAAGAAAGAATCACTGATCGGCTGCCTCCTGCATGCTTGGTTCTGAGGATCGAGCCCACAACCCAGGCATGTGCCCTGACCTGGAATGGAACTGGTGACCTGCTGGTTCATAGGTCGACATTCAACCACTGACCCACACTGGCCTGGCCAGTGTTCAAGTATTTAAAGACCATGATTATTTGTGCCTAAATTTTTAGGTTAAAGTTCTCAAATTCATCTCTTTGGTCCTCTTCCTTCCTATCTCAAGATTGTGGTCAGACCACATAGAGTTCTTGGAATATAGTATGCTTTTTGAAACTTTTTTGACCTTTTGTCACCTATGATTGTTCTACTTATGATACTCCCCCTTCTTATCCTTCTGTCAAAATATTCATCTTTTAAACCCAGGTGAAACAAGTGCTCTGTGAAATTTTTTCTCACTCAAATATGAGTCACACCATCCTGTGTGCCACCACGTGAGTATATGCATCTGCCATGTCAGTGGATTTTAGTTCTATGTTTGTGTGTCTGTTTCCGGTAGTACACTGAACTCTTTGAGGTCAGGGATTATGTCTTTGTGTAGTCAGCACTTAATGTGGTACCTAGAATGTATTAGGTATTCAGTAAATGTTTAATGAAGGGAAAAGATTCCTAAAAAAGACCTTAAAGTTTTTGGTCCTATGTCATAATTTCTTTTTTTTATGTCATAATTTCTTTACCCTTCTGGTCATCTTTAACGATGCCACTCAGAACTGACCCTTATACTTTAAATAATGGCTGACTAATGCAAAGTATAATGCAGCTTACTGTCTCTTCATCTCGATGCTAAATTCTTATTAATACTACCAAAAATTACATTGGCCTTGCTCATACTGAATTTGTAGAAACAAAATTGCTTCCCCCTTCCTCCCACATGAACTGCTGTTAAGCCAGTTTTTCTCATTACATGTATGTACAATTAAATTTTTAAGCCTGAAGATAACATATCCAATTTTGGTTTTTATTTTTCTGAATAACAGTGAACTTATTTTCCCTTTATTTCCTTCAATTTTGTCATTTCCCTCGTGCTTGTCTAGTGTTTCGTTCTATAAAATCTATAATAATAAAAGTGTAATCTGTTAAGTAGACCAGACAGCTGAACGACCTTCCAGACATCCTTCTGGATGACCTTCTGGACGAAGCTGCAGCTCTGAGGACCTATCCCTTTGCATGAATTTTGTGCATTGGGCCTCTAGTTATTATAATAAAACTGCAAGCCCTGGCTGGTGTGGCTTAGTTGGCTGGAGCGTCATCCCGTACACTGAAGGGTATAGTGGGTTCATTTTTCTGTCCAGGAACATACCTGGGTTGTGGGTTAGATCACTGGGCAACCAATCCCTTTTTCTCTCAAGGTGATGTTTTTTTTTCCTCTCTCTCTCCCCCTACCCCTGCTCCCACCCCTACCTACCCTCTGAGATTTGTCAGTCTGTTTCATGTTTCTATGTCCCTGGATCTATTTTGTTCATTAGATTCCACATATGAGTGAGATCATGTGATACTTGTCTCTCTCCTACTGTCTTATTTTGCTTAGTATAGTACTCTCCAGTCCTTCCATGCTGTCTCAAAGGGTAAAAGATCCTTTTATATAGCTGCATAGTATTCCATGGTATAAATGTACCACAACTTTCTTATCCACTCATCTACTGATGGGCACTTGGGCTGTTTCCCAATTTTATTAGTAGCTATTGTAAATTGTGCTGCTGTGAACATAGGGGTGCATACATTCTTTCTGATTGATGTTGCAGGTTTCTTAGGATCTATTCCCAGAAGTGGGATCACTGAGTCAAATGGCAGTTCCATTTTTAATTTTTTGAGGAAACTCCATATTGCTTTTCATAGTGGCTGCACAAATCTCATTCCCACTAGCAGTGCATGAGGGTTCCCTTTTCTCCACATTCTCGCCAGCATTTATCATTTGTTTATTTGTTGATGGTAGCCATTCTGACAGGTGTGAGGTGTACCTCATTTGTTTTAATTTGCATCTCTCTGATGATTAGTGACTGAGCATTTTTTTTCATGTCTCTTGGCTATCCTTATGTCCACTTTGGAGAAGTGTCTACAAACATTTGATAAGTTTTTTTTGTATGTGGGCTATGATATTTTGATTAGTTCTTTGCCAAAGGATAGTTTTATTTTTAAAATTTATATTTACTGTTGAAAGTATTACAGATGTCCCCCTTTCCCCCATTGACTCCTTCTAGCCCGCCCTCACCCCCTACCCCAGGCCTTTACTACACTATTGTCTCTCATGGATTAATTCTTTGGTTGATCTCTTCCCACCCCTACCCCTCCATTGCCTTCCCTCTGAGATTCCACAGTCTGTTCCATGCATCTGTCTCTGGAGCCAAAGGATAGTTTTAAAACACAGTGTAAGTTAATGCAATAGTTATCTGTGGTGTTTGTTATGGTACTTAAGTAATTAGTCTTAACATTTGATGTTAATATTTTATTAGCTTTTAACTTTTTCTCTGTGTACTTCCTCTTCTTCCCAGGTAAACACTCTTTATATTACCAACTGTAAATTGTTACTTGTCTTGGGCAAGTGGGTAAATGAGCAATTGCATTAGTTGGTACTTGGCTGTCATCTGCACTCTTGGAGAGTTAGGGATAAACCAAAAAATAGTAGTAAATAAAATAGAAACCACTTTACTTTGATTTTAAAACACATTTGTGGTTCACTCCCTGTGTTTCTACCTTTTTACTTCTTCTGGATGCTTAATTTAACATTCAGATTTCTCTTTTTGCATATTCCATTTGACAGTGGTTGCTTGGAAGATTAGTGAGTAGTATAAGCAGGTAACCTTGAGATTAATACGGATAATGGCCCCTTGTTTCCTGTGTATCCCTGCACTTACATATGTTTTGCTGCCTCTTGGTGTTCTATGCAGCACTTGGGCATTTAGTTTTACAACTCTTTGACATTCTATAGTTGTTTCACTCAAATATATTTTTTATTCCCTCGTAAGGTTGTAAGTTTCTTTAGGACTTAGACCATTTATGTTCGACCTTTATTATATGCCTTTCTTGACTTTCTTAAAGGAATAGTCTCTACTTTTGTCTTCTTCCTCATTGCTCATTCCTCGTTAGTAATGGTGTCTGTTTTCATGATGAGAATTTTATATTCTCCACTGCTTATGAAGAACGTAGATTTTGCTTCTTGCTGTGATGGAACAGATTGAAGCAGATCAAAACTACTGCTGAGAATAATTAGAAAAGCCTGATTTAGAAAAAAATCTATATGAAGGCATTGGTAAGTTGCCAAGGCAGCCAGGACCTTCAGACATTTGTGGATTCTTGGCAAAGGGAGAGTGCAGCTATTAAGAAGCAGAAAAGCCAGCGGAGCTTTCTTCATGGAGCTAGAGATTTAAAAAAAAAATGTAGTTCAGGGCTGCCAAGGCAACCAGAACTTGAGAGGCCAGATACCAGAGAGAAAGGAGGTACATCCCCCTCCCTCTGCCCCCTCCACCTGCTTTTTTCTCTTGAGGCGTTTGCTGAGTCTTAAACTGTGCAGAGTAAAAGGCTAAGAGGTTTCACAGAAAGATACGGAAAAGCAAAGCATTTTTTAGCAGTTCCTCAGTGTTGAGGAGAAAAAGTTAGGACCTTCTAAGGAAGGCAGGCTTGGTAAACACCCCAGACTCATTTGGACCCTCGAAGGGCTACAGACCAGGGTAGAATGAGCTTTACAAGCTTTGCAAAGATTGCAGCCTGCCTTGAATCAGCTCATGTCCCGCCCCCATTCTAACTGCCTATCAGAGAACATGGTGAATCCTCTGTAGGAATTTAATATCATCCAGAACCTCTACAGTTTTTTATATATGTACAATGAATGACATTCTAAGAAAATTACCAGGTAAACCAAGAAACCATGCCAGGCATATAAATAGATAGGATAGAAATATATTCATAGTCTTCCAGTTATCTCATAATTTACTCAATCAGTCTCTAGTTGAAGAACAGGTTGTTTACAGTCTTCAGTATTGAGTGATTTGCAGTGAACATTCTTATATGTACATCTTTGTACATCTGTATGATATTTATCTTTAAGATAAAGGATGCCCTTGCTAACTCTTGCCTTCATCAAACACTTTTTTATCTTTGCCTATCAGATACATAAAAGCATTTTGGTTTAAAAGGTTTTAATCTCTTGAAATATTAATGAAATTGAACAGATTTTAATATGTTTATAAATCTAAAATGTCCTTTGCTCATTTTATATGGCTTTAAAAATTATTAAAGAGGTCTTTAGGCTTTTAAAAAATTATTAAAGAGGTAATAAGACATAGTGAGTGAGAACACAGATCCTAGAGCTAGATTGCCTGGGTGTAAGTCATATAGCTCTTTCCCTTACAGCATTGTAGCCTTGGGCAAATTAAGGGCTCTGCGCCTCGGTTTCCTCATTTGTAAACTGGGATAATAGTATCTCCCCATTAGATCATTATGAAGATTAAGTGAGTTAATTATACAGTCCTTAGAAATGGGCTTGGTATAATGTGATACATAACGGCTGGCTATCATATGATGCTGCTGGTGGTGACAGAGATGGAGATTAGCTAAAGAGATTTTTTTATTGGCCCAAGGGCAAATAGCTAGTAAGTGGAAGTATTCAGTCATTCTGCTGCACTGATAAGTTGAACCTACAGAGTAAGAAACTCAAACATAGTAGTCAGGGTAGCATCTTCCCATTAAAGTTCAGTGAGGTTCTTTTTCTAATTTTGTATTGAGCGTGGATGCTTTGACAATGAATGACATTTCATTCCTGAGGGTTTGGTGCAATTAGCAAAATGTCTTGTAGTTTGTTTTGTTTGTTTGCCTCTATTAATATCCAGTAACCACGCCCCAGAGAAAATCCTTCTTAGGAAGGACCTTCAAGGAAGTATAGCTGCTCCTACAGTTTACATTCCACTGAATGCAATCGTCGGCTTAGGTTACTAGCCACAGGTCTGTGTCGTTCTTAAGGCATCATATTGTTAGAATTCCCCTTCCTGTTAAACATAATAGTCAGAGGACAGACATCCAGAAAGTACTTGAACCAAAGGATTCATTTACAAATACCAAAATACTCAGCATCTCCATGTCACCTAAAGTCCTTGCTAGCACTTCTCTGTGAGATGAAGGAAGGGTGAGTGGTTGCTTCTGTGCGACGGAAACACTTGAAAACCCCCCATAGAAGCTGGTGGAGGGATTGGTGAGATTGGGACTAATTCCTCTGGACTAAGGTTCTTTTCTGGTTCTTTTGGCATCTTGTTGCTCTGCTTATTATTATTTTTTTAAAAATAATTTGGTTTTTTTTAGAGCAGTTTTAGTTTCACAACGAAATTGAGAGAAATGTAGAGAGATTTCCCATATACTTCCTGTTCCCATACATACATAGCTTCCCCCATTATCAATATCAGGATGGTAGACTTGTTACCAAGGGTAAACCTACAGTGATGTAAGCACCTAAAGTTCATTTAATTCACTTTGAAATATTTATTTAGAAATAAGTTCATAAATAAGGCCAACTGGTACTCCACATACTGACTGAAATCTTACTATGCCTTGACTTATTTGAGAGTAACAAAACTAGGCAGGGGTAGGGGAGGCGTACCAATTTACATTCACCAAATATTGCCAGGATGGACAGGGGTGGGCAGTACACAGAGGATTCGTAGGCAGAGAAGTACTCTGTGCAATATTATAATGATGGACATATGTCACTAAACATTTGTCAAAATCCACAGAACGTACAACACCAATGTATAGTGGATGAAGGTGATGGAATGTTTTATCTCCCATACCGAGGGTCTAACAATTCTCTAGTACTTGGTAGACCTTTAAGTTACTCTAATTCTACATCTGCATTAGATGCAATGTTTCTAAGTATCTTCCACTCTTCTCAGATGTACTAAATAAGAGTCTTTGTAAAATAGTTGAGACAACTGAAAAATGACGAAGTCAACTTTTCTGCAACAAGTATTTATCAACCTCAATGGGATGTAAAGTTATTAAAAAGTCAAAATAAATACTGTTTCAATCACTGAATATACATAGGGGTCTTTAGAAGTGTCATGTACACTTACGGAGTTTATGTGTACTTTCCCCCTCCTTTTTGACAACATTTACAACTTATCTTTTATTCCTGTTCTTAACTTGGATTTAATCATCTATTTATATAACCAACATATATTGTGTGCCTCCTATGGCCTGAGTATCTCGGATTCAGAATTTTACCTAAAAACACAGCAGAACAGATTACAACATATATATTGTAACTAGGGTCAAGAGACGCAGTGCTTTAGAAAGATGCTTATGTGCAGTCTCTGGAGAACCTTGAATGACATGTTGAAGAGTTTTTACTTGATTGGCAGATCAAAACCACTGAAGTCTTTGAGGATAAAAAAAATCTGGTTCTATACTGGAAATATTTACAGCTTGTGTACAGGAAAACAATCTGGTGACAGCGTTTAAAAAGAAATAGAAAAATATAGTATTATGAACAAAACTTTAGCTCATTAAAATGTTACTTGGTAACACTGAACTAAGACCTTTAAATAGTTTTTCCTTAGAGTCTTTTAATATGTTAACTTTACCAGTCAGGCCCTTCCAGACCACTCTATATAAAGTAATCTTTTTCTTACATTTTACATTTATTTTCCTCCATAGCACTTAGCACCATCAGTTGTATTATATACACTCATATATTTGTTTATTGTCTGTTTCCCTTCACAGATTGTAAACTCCATGAGAGCTAGGATCTTATTTGTTACTGCTTCTCTACAGTGCTTAGAACTGTGCCTGGTTTACACCCTTAATAATTATTTGTTAAATGAATGAATGAATATTCAAGTTAAGATGACCACACTTTTAATGTAGTTGATAATGTGGGGACAGCAGTAGGATGAGGTGTTGGTTGGTTCCTTCCTAGGACGTCTTATTAAAAAGCATGTTCTTGCCCTGCCGGCATGGCTCAGTGGTTGAGCTTCCGCCCTATGAACCAGGAGATCACGGTTTGATTCCTGGTCAAGGCACATGCCCGGGTTGTGGATTCAATCCCCAGTGTGGGGCATGCAGGAGGCAGCTGATCAATGATTTTCTCTCATCATTGATGTTTCTATCTCTCTCCCTTTCTCCCTTCCTCTCTGAAATCAATAAAAATATATATTTTTAAAAATCTTCTTTTCCCTTTCTTCCAGAGTTTATATTCAGAACACCAATCAAATTAAGCAAGCCTGGGGAACTTCGTGAGGAATATGAAAGCCTGAGAAAGGTATAGTATACATGTTATCATGCCATTCATTTTTTAAAAGTAAATTAAAATAATGGCATTAAAGAATGCTTAGTGAGAGTTTTGGTTTGCCTAGGGGTTTTTTAAATTTACAATTCAGAGCCTGTCTTTCTACACATTACATTATACCAGCATAGTTAGATTGTAGCTATAATGGGAGTAGAGTAAATCTTAACTAAGAACCCCCTTCTAAGCTGTCCTTTCAAAGATGAAAGTGTAGCTCATAGCGCCTGTCACATACCTGCTGCAATAACTGGCCACCAAGAGAGGTATTCTTGGCATTTAATGTTAGTTAAACGCTAACATTCAAGCTTTAATAATAATAGCTTTTACTATTTTTCCTTATCTTGCAAGGTTCTAATTGCATGTAACTGATATTATCCTTTATTGCTTTTACTCTGTTAAATACTCCAGAATAACTGTAACTTAGGCCAGTAAGAGGGTAAGGAAATAATTTCCTAGAGAACCTTTACCCTTGGGAAAGCTTTTACCTGTGTCCACATCATCTTATTTGGAATGTTTTCAAGCTAATTGTCTGGGAATCACTTAGAGAATTAAGACTTTAAAAAGGCTAGTAATAAGAAGTATGTTACAAAATCTGTATCATCCTTCCCCAGCCCTCTTCCTGTAGCACCGTCTCTTAACCCACATTCATAAATGATTAGATAATCATTCTACCTGTGGATGTTTAATACTTTATAAAGATGAGTAATCCACTTAATCTGAATCAGACATCTTCAAAAGCAGAGGCGAGGCAGTAACATTACTTGTAGAATTTTATATTGAATAAAAAAATCAGTATTAACAAGGCCATGTTAAAGAGATAATAGAAAACTGTTCTTAATTACTATACATTCTTTGACCCTTTTAAAAATGAAGATGTCATATGCTGAGTTGAGCTGTCATTCTCCTTTAATATTGGTATTGTGAGTTTTTTATTTGTATTCTGTGTTTTAAAAAAAATCACTTACAAAGCTTTTTCTACATGGCAAGAAATTATTCTCAGGGGCCACATCAAAAGAACCACAGATTCCTCTTAAATAAAATTCTAGAATATGCAGATAATTAGCTCTAATGTTCCTTTTCAAAAAACATGGCCCTGGCATTGACTCAGTGGTTAGAGCATTGGCCCTCTGACCAAAGGGTCTGGGCTTGATTCCTGGTCAAGGGCATGTACCTGGGTTGCAGGGATCATGGAGAATATGGTTTAAAGCTATCAGCTTGAAGATAAAGAGAAAACAAGGAGTTGGAGATAGAAAAGGGAGTTAAAGCAGAAGGCATGGTAAGAGTAGAGGTTTTTATAAGCCTTGAGAGAAGAAACCTTGACTTATTTGTGTTCCTCTTAGGAGGGAGGTGCAGGAAGATGGTTTTAAAAGGACTGATGGCGTAATGCTGAAGGAGGCTAGGACATTCTCATCATGTAAAGTGAATTGTGTTTGAAAAACACCTGTGTTACTTGGATTAAATAAAAGTTAACTATAGGTCCTTCTCCCGTGGGATCTATGCCCAAATACCCAAGTTATCCTGCATTCTTTGTACAACCTGGAAAATGAAAAGTCAAGTCATAAAATCAAAAGTCACTACTGGCACATCCATACAATGGAATACTATTCAGCAATAAAAAGGAATGAATCAGTGGTACATGCTACCACATGGATGAACCCCAAAAAGATGCTAAGTGAAAGAAGCCAGATACAAGAGGCCATGTATTATATAATTCCATTATAGAAAATGTTCAGAATAGACAAATGTATAGAGAAAAACAGATTAATGGTTGATTGGAGTAGGGATAGGAATGGGAATTAATAAATGGGTGTGAGTAATTTTATTATAGTAATGAACATTTCTAAAGCTGATTTATGGTGTGTTCCCCAACTTGAGAAATTTACTAAAAATCATTAAATTATACACTTGAAATGGATAAGTTATATAATATGTAAAATATGCCTCAATAAAGTTGTAAAAAAATTTAAAAGGCACTAGACATTTTATGGAGAACTTGATAGAGAAAAAGATGCCTCAGAGTGCATATTTTCTGAAACAAAAGAAATATATAGTTATCTAGGTAAATCTCTAGGGGAGGAATGTCTTTAAAAACTGGTTCTGAGCAAGGGATGGTAAGTGGAAATGAACTCTATAGGACTCCCCATTACTAATTTGATGTATAACATATTATTAATATATTTTTTTATTTAGTATACTTTATTATTTTGTGTAAGGGGCAGTAAAATCCTTTATACGGGCTATAAAAAGTTAACAAGAAATTTTATTCCCCTAATTCTGGTTCTTTTAAAAGATGTTTCCTTAATAATCATAGATTATTCGACCCATGGGATAGTGTTATGCCTACTGAGGTTACTATGGATTTATAAATTTTATGATTCTATAAATAAGTTTATATTTCTAAGTATGTTTAAAATTTTCTTCCTGCCATATGTCAAAATTGTCTTTTTTTTTAAATTAAAAAAAATGCAGGAATATGCAGAGCGAAAGGTGAATGTTTCTCTTTTCCTTATTTTCAGTCTCTTCCTAGGCCCTTATACACACACACACACACACACACACGCATGTACACACTTTAATCTTTTTCAGTATAATTGAAATCATGGTGTGTATTCATTTATTCACCGTGTCCCTACTATATGCCAGGTATTGGGTATACAGTGGTGAATATGATAACCTGAGGTCTGAGGTGCTTACCCTTAGTGAGATTCCATTCTCGTGGGGAAGATAGACAGTAAATAAAAACACACACTACACATACACACACGTACGCAAAGCAGGATAAGAAAAGTTAAGGGGAGTGGAAAGGACTGTTTTATTTTTGAATTTTTGTGTGTGTGTGTGGACATAGCTAGTCAGTAGAAGGGACTATTTTAGATAAGAGTGATCAGGCGAGGTCTTTCAGAGAAGGCACCATTTAAGTTGAAGCCTGAAAGAAGAGAGGGAGCAAACCAAGTTAAGGTATGAGGAAAGTGCATTCCAGGCAAAGGGAGCAGCAAATGCAAAGGCCCTGAGACAGAAACAAGTTTGGCTTGTTTGAGGAACAGTGTGGCCAGAGCTGAATGGAAGGATGGTGTGGGGATTTGGAAGGAGATGAGCTGGGAGAGATAGAAGAGCCAGATCAAAGAAGGCCTAGTTTACCTGGTAAGGAACCTAAATTTATTTAAAATGTGATGGAAAGATAGTAAAGTAATCTGGTTTATACTTTTAAAAGTTTCCTGGTTGCTTTGTGGGGAATAAGCTGTAATGGGCCTAAGAAGTTAGGAATTGTATTTACTGTGGATACTAGAGTCCACAAAATAATGATTCAAACAAATTAGAAGTTTTATTTTTATTAAGTAACAAAAAACTGTAGTTAGGCAGTCCAGGACTGATATGGCAGCTCCATGACATCAGGGATTCAAGTTCCTTTTGTCTTTCTATTTCGACATCTTCAAGTGTACCTATCTCATTGTGGTGTAAAGTGGCAGATCCTTCTCTAGAATCACATCTATACAGAAGGCAGATGCCAGCTGACTTGGATCCTTTTAAAGAGCCTTCTCCAAAGCTCCACCAGTGACTTCACTTTTATTTTATACTTAGAGGCCTGGTGCATGAAATTCGTGCACTTGCGGGGGCGGGGGGGGGGGCCCCTCAGCCCAGCCTGTGCCCTCTCACAGTCCAGAAGCCCTTGGGGGATGTCCAACTGCCAGCTTAAGCTTAAGCTGGCAGTTGGACAGCCTTAGCGCTGCCATGGAGGTGGGGGAGGCTCCCGCCACCGCTGCTGCGCTCGCCAGAAGTGAGCCTGGCTTCTGGCTGAGCAGCATCCAACTGCCGGCTTAAGCTTAAGCCGGCAGTTGGACAGCCTTAGCGCCGCCATGGAGGTGGGAGAGGCTCCCGCCACCGCTGCTGCGCTCACCAGAAGTGAGCCTGGCTTCTGGCTGAGCAGCATTTCCCTGTGGGAGCACACTGATCACCAGGGAGCAGCTCCTGCGTTGAGTGTCTGCCCCCTGGTGGTCAGTGCACGTCATAGTGACCGGTCGTTCCGCCGTTTGGTCAATTTGCATATTAGCCTTTTATCATATAGGATTCTAGTGCCGCAGGCTTCCTGTAGTTGCCAGGGGGCTCGGAAGCATAGAGTGTTTACCTGGGTGTGTTAGCTTCCTAAGTGGAATCAGGGTTCTCTTATTGAGGAAGGAGAGAATGGATATTGGGTAGGCATCTAGCAGCTCTTCCTCATGGATCAAGAATGGAGATAAGACCAGTTAGGGCACATTTGGAATAAGGAATATGTTGAGTTAACCAAGGTTAGGGTTCTGCCAGAAGGATGTTGGAGGGAGAGATGTAGTGTACTATAAGGTGTATATAAGGAAGTTGTTATAGTTTTTGGACCATGGTTATTTAAGGAGGGAATTGAGATACATGATGGACAGTGAAAGAGCTGTTAGATCGATGGACTGAAAATTTTAATGGTGGTAAAGAATTGTAAAACTAAGGCTATTAGCATACAAGTAAAGCTGGAAAGCTCGGAAGTGATGGTCTAAATGTGGGAGGCTTAAAAGTGAGACTGGGAAGAGATTTAGTTATTGGACATGACAAGGTTTAGGTTATGAGCATGGGAGTATGTAACTGAAGTAGGAGGGAAGAAAAGATTTATTTAGGAGGTGAAGGAACTGAGCGAGTATTCTGATATTGACATCTTCAGGAATGATCACTGAAGTAGTTGGAGAGAAACTTAGATGATACGCTTTTCTGTGAATTAGGGGACAGAGAGATAGGTAGGCGACTACCATAACGAGGGATCTTGGGTGTGTCAGTCTGATGGTAAATACTTGAAAGAAGCTTGGATTTTTGATGAATAATATGATCCATTGCTTTTTTCACTAACAATATGATTTTTATTTTGGGGGGGAGGACTTTTATATAGATACTTTTTCATCCTGAATATTTCATAGTATAGATGAGGCATGATTCACTTATCATTCCATTATTATTGGTCA